TGATTCCCAGCTTTTATGAATTTAATGTCATAATATTCCACCTTTCTTTGCCCCAACCATTGTGTGGTTTACATAGATATCCTCTAAAATTAGGATGAATGAGTACTTTTTATGAGTTTGGGTAAGACTATTATGATCTGAGACTATTTTAAGAAGTAAACTACCTGGGATTTCAACCATTTGAGTGGGATAACAGGTTGCAAAATCTCTCACATTCTTTTTGATAAGGATAAGAAAAATTTTTTTTGGAGGCTGGCTGGTATGGGGATCCAAACCCTTGACCTAAGTGTTATAATACCGCACTGTAACCAACTGAGCTAACTGGCCAGCCCCAAGAATAATTTTTAATTAAATTTTTTTTTAATTTAAAAAATATATTTATTTATTGTTATTGTTTTTACGTTCTAAGTTTTTAGAAGGTAGGGACTTTATAATTGTTAAAAGGCAGTGATTTACTTCAGAAGTATTTTTTTTTTTTTTTGTGACCGGTAAGGGGATCACAACCCTTGGTGGGGTGTCGTCCGTACCACGCTCAGCCAGTGAGCACACCGGCCATTCCTATATAGGATCCGAACCTGCGGCCTTGCCGCTCCCAGCGCCGCTCTCTCCCGAGTGAGCCATGGGTTCGGCCTAGAAGTATTTTTTTTTTAAAGATGACCGGTAAGGGGATCTTAACCCTTGGCTTGGTGTTGTCAGTACCAGGCTCTCCCAAGTGAGCCACGGGCCAGTCAGAAGTATTTTTTAATGAAACTCAAGAAACTCACATATACATGGCTTTTTGGCTCATCTTCAGGCTTGGCTTCCTCTAAGGCAGAGTTTTCCAGCCCCTCTGTGGAAGTGTGTCTGCTAGGCAGTAATTTCATTCCCCTCCTTGGCATGATGAGTTTGCTGATGTAAATGAAAACTGAACACTCTGTTAATGGCCTCCATTACTGTGTTCTCCCTTTTGGACTTTGGAGGGAAGTTTGCCAGGGTTTGACAAACAGTGTTCAGTAGATCACCTGCATCTGAATCTCCAGGGTGGCAGTGGGGAGCTGAAAAATGCAGATTCCTAGGCCTGGCTTCTGATTTAGCCACTTGGGATCTTTTCAGGTGGGGCTTGGATGCCAACTTCTTTTAAACCTCTCCAAGTAACTCTTAGGTAGCCCCAAGTTTGGGAAATTTTGCGTTAGAAGTTTCACATTGCCACCAATTCCTCCAGTAAACTAGGGTTGGGAAATTTTATTTCAAAGGATTACTGAGAAATTGGCCATGTTATNTTCCAGCCCCTCTGTGGAAGTGTGTCTGCTAGGCAGTAATTTCATTCCCCTCCTTGGCATGATGAGTTTGCTGATGTAAATGAAAACTGAACACTCTGTTAATGGCCTCCATTACTGTGTTCTCCCTTTTGGACTTTGGAGGGAAGTTTGCCAGGGTTTGACAAACAGTGTTCAGTAGATCACCTGCATCTGAATCTCCAGGGTGGCAGTGGGGAGCTGAAAAATGCAGATTCCTAGGCCTGGCTTCTGATTTAGCCACTTGGGATCTTTTCAGGTGGGGCTTGGATGCCAACTTCTTTTAAACCTCTCCAAGTAACTCTTAGGTAGCCCCAAGTTTGGGAAATTTTGCGTTAGAAGTTTCACATTGCCACCAATTCCTCCAGTAAACTAGGGTTGGGAAATTTTATTTCAAAGGATTACTGAGAAATTGGCCATGTTATCTGACTTAATGAAAGACAGAATTGATTTCACCATGTGAATTCTCTAAAGGCTAGTTCCTCTCTCTCTCTCTCTCTGCATGTGTGTGTGTCCCTGTCGCTCTCTCTCTTGCCTGTATGTACATATGACAAAGCCTTTAAATTTGAGATTTTCCATGGGATTCTAACTCTGAAAAACTTTTGTTGTCTTTGATAATATGGAAGAAAAGTATATAAAATAGATCTGACCTTACTGATGGGAAAATAATACTATGCTCATTTTACAGATAGGGAAATTTAGGCACAGAGATTTAATAACTTGCCCAGATGGTCTGTGTGGCAGAACTGGGATTTGAATCCTAAAACTGGTGCTAAAGTCCAGGCTCTAACCACTCAGAACACTGCCTCTTAAGAAGAAGGGATGGAGAGGTGACTCCCTCTCATATATTTATTCCTACTAAGAAATCTTTAATCACAAACATACACATACCAAAGCTTCCTCTCCATATAGAAACATTTATATTAAGGATGGAGAAAAGTCCCCATATATGAAGACTTCTGGATGCCTTATACAACTTCTCAGATGGTATATCCTGGGCAGACTGATCTTTGAAAGTCAAAATGGTCCACCGGAGACTGCAAAGTAGATGATGTCTAGGCTGCAAAGCTGGTTTTTGTTTTGTTTTGTTGTTGACCCCCACCATGTGAATTGGTTATCAATATCTAAAATTTAGGAGATTTTACACAAAAGCTCAGATTTCCAAACCTTCTTAAAAAATGGGCCCCAAGGGGCCTGCATGCTAAGTGATAACAATTGGAACAGAGGGGTGGCGGCTCCCATTAAACTGTGCTCTCCAGTTTACCACAGTCCCCACTGCTCCCTATTGTCCTGTATCCAAGCCACTTCATTCATGTATGCTCCCTGCCTGAACCCTGCAGTCCTTTGACTTTGTGACCCTTAGCCCTGCCTCATTACATGTTTTTATAGGTTGAAACTTCACCGCTCCATTCCCACGTAAATGAAATCCTGGAGTTAACCACAAAGTGAGATAATTTACTGGCCTTTGTTACTGAGTGTACTAGAAGGGACACATTGACTTAGAGATAGTGCAAAGTTGTGGTTGAGAACACAGCCTAAAGAGCCTTACTATCCTGGGTTTAAACCCTACCTTTCCCACTAACTAGCTGTGAGATGTTAGACAAGTCACTTCATCTCTCTGAACCTCAGTTTCCTCATCTGCAAAATGGGGATAATAATACTCCTACCTCATGGGGTTACTGTGAGGATCAAATGAGGATTAATTCATAAAAGAGCTTAGAATAATGCCTGGCATATGGTAAGGTCTATGTCAATGTCAGCTGCTATTACAACCCACTTAACTCAAACACTAATCTGAGCAATATGTACTTGTATTTTCACAAGTCCCCAGGAGTTAAGCCAAGACTTGGTCTCATTTCCTTGGAATGTTGTCCTTTCAGCTTGGCTCATGGGTACAAAGGCTCGAGCTCTATTTAATGGCATCTTAAGTTCTGAGGTTCTCTCCCAGTAATGTTGATAACAACAATAATAATAACAGGTCTAATAAATGGTTTGCATTTTTTTTGTGCACCAACTAAGGAACAGATGCCAGGCTATACACATTCTGTGGCTTGTCTTATTAACTTTTACAACAGCTTTATTACATGAGTACTATTGTAACCTCCATTACAGCTGAGAAAACTGAGGTTTGGGAGGTGAAATGATTGACCAAAGGTCTCACAGTTAGTAAGTGATAGAGGGATACCTAGGTCCAAGCAGCCTGGTGCCAAACCTGCACTATTAACTCCATACTCTATGGCCCCTGCTGACACATACACAAGCACATTATGCCTTCTTTTAAGAATAAAGTCAGGTGCATTCTCATCTATTCTCTGTCTTCCCCTTTACCAGCCAAAATCGTCAAATTTGCCATCCTGCAAGCAGGAAACCTTGAGTTTCCTTTGATGTTTAGTGTCATTTTCTCCTCTCTTTAGACAAACCCCCTATTTTTCCTGTGACACATCCCGTTTTCACATCTCCCCTTCCATCCAGCTGCCATTGATTGCTGCTGGGTCTGACTTGTCTGATAGGAAGGTGATCGACCGTGACATCTGCTACCCTCTTTGTTGCTAAGGTTGGTTTGGTTGATCTGGCTGGCCAAAAGATGTCCCCTTCTTCCCTCACTCATTTGGGTGAGCTTCTTTTGTCAACCAAGTCAAAGAGTGTGACCTTCTCAGCTTGAGGGGCATAGTACTTCTGTGCAGGGTGCAAGAGTAGTTGTACTGCTCTGGCAGAAAAGCGAAAAGATTTTCTAGCATTCTTATCTGTCTTGCCAGGAGTTACACAGCGAGACAGAGACGGATCTGAACTTGTCATTTCCGGGTCTGGGTTGTCCATCACATCACTTTGCCCTTCGTCAAATCCCTGATGGAAAGTGTCATTGATTCTAGCAGATGAAACCCATCTCAGCTGGTTAGAGAAATCAGAATAAATTTGTCTCAGTCCAGAGGGAAACAGCACCACCCAATACCAAAAACATGTGGTGACCCTTCTGCCCTTGAACTAAGAACAATTAGGCTAGTTTAATGCAAAATCTTGCAGGATATCATTTAGCAGATCACATGGCTAGGCACAGCAAGTAACAACGCTAAATATCCCATTTACTCTCTTACATTTTCCAACCTCTTACAGTTAGGTGGGGCTATTGGACTGGCGTTAGTCAATTAATGTGAGCCTAAGTGACATTTGTCACTCCTGGCCTGAGGCAGTGAAAAGTCCATGTGGGAGTCTCTGATCTTCTCCCCTGGCCTTAGCCTGAGGACACTTCATGTTCTAGATCAGAGGTTGGCAAACTACAAGCCACAGACAAGATGCCTGTTTTTGTCAATAAAGTTTTATTGGAACACAGTCACACCTGTTCATTTACATATTGTCTATGGCTGCTTTCAGGCTAAAATGGCAGAGCTACGTTGTTGTGACAGAGCCCATGATAGAGATTATACGGCCTGCAAGGCTTAAGATATTTACTCTCTCCTGCTTACAGAAAGTTTGTTGACCCCTTTTCCAGACAGAGCAGCTACAAGATGGTGGTGGTTTGGATAGCTTGGGACCCTGAATAACTGTGTGGAGGAGACACCTTCCACCGACCTACATGGTCCAAGGAATGCCAGTGAAGCAAACATGAAAACCCTTTTGTTTGGAGTTGTTTGTTCCTAGAGCATAACCTAACCTAACCTGTCCTAATAGATTCCGATGGCATTCAAGAAAAGGCATTTTACATTGGGAGGGATTCAGCAAGCTACTTACTTCCTTGTGAAGTGAACTACACAAGAAATGCCGATGATGAGAAGGCCAATGACGATGGAGGCGATGGCCACCCACTTGGCATTCCGCCCAAGCCGCCTGGATCCTTCAAAGTCTCCATCATTGTAGCTGTTCAGAGACTGGGAGACACAAGGGAAGAGCGAGGCGATGGCCACCCACTTGGCATTCCGCCCAAGCCGCCTGGATCCTTCAAAGTCTCCATCGTTGTAGCTGTTCAGAGACTGGGAGACACAAGGGAAGAGTTGGTGATGACAGACAACCCACAAGGAAAGGCATGGGGATTCTCAGGCTCTCCTCACTAAGAGCCCACAGGTGCCTTTGCTCATCATGCCAGGCTGCTGAGCAAGCAACATGGTTATCATCTCCTCCAGGAAGCCTTCCCTAAACCCCATGGCTGATGCCTCTATATTT